ACAGCTGCTGCCAATCACTGTAGTGGTTTGATTGCTGGACCTGGGAGTGCAGGGTTCAAATCCCCACTTGGCCATGAAGTTCACTGCGTGACCTTTGGCCAGCCATTCACTCTCTGCCTATTCTACCTCCCAGGTGGTTGTGAGAATAATAGTATGCGGTGACTCTGAGCTCCTTGGTGGGGTATAAATACAAACAGGGAGGGAATATCGAGCTGACTGGACTCTGCCTAAGATAGCTTCCTTTATCCCTATGGCTCTATTACTTCCTAAGGCCAGAAAATGGATGACAGTGTAGGGCTGGTAGGCCCAGTTATATTAAAAAGCAATTCTGGTGGCATGGCTGCTGTCACAGAGTCAGCTCCTGTATCTGGAAGAACACCAAAGTAGAGCAAAAACAGCTGATGATGTCACCTCCCCAATCTTAGCACTGCAATAGCCCAGGTGGGCCTCCTTATCAACCTGCTGTGCCAAACAGCACAGCCAACGGTCACAGAGTTGTTTTCCAATAAGATCTGGAGAGCACCAGATTGGGGGCATCTGTCCTCGTTTCTCAGCTGCCCAACCTCTCAACAAACACGTACCTTCAGGGAGATGTCAGGCTAAGATCTGCGTTGCTTCTTTGCTGGCTTGATAGGAGGTAGCTCCCCTTCCTCCTCTTCCATGGACTCGTCCTCCTCACTAAAATCCTCCTCATCTTCACTGAACTCATCATCTGAGAGGTCCTTTTTGTGAACTGAAAGAAGCAGCTGGAACTGTTACTTTGCAGTAGGACCTGGGGAAATGCCCCCAGCCCCTCCTCTCACCATTGCTAGCCAACTCCACCCCATTCCTAAGAGCGTCTCAAGCAGTGAATTACCCGTGCATGCCAAAGCATTCACACATTCCCCAGCTCTCTGCCTTATGCTTCAAAGAAGGGCTAGGTACCATTCCATCATGCACACCTGCCCATGAGATGTGGCTAAGTCCTCCTCACTTGGAGGACGAGCAACCTACACGCAACTCTGAACAGAGTGCACCACTGAGCAAAGCCACACATTGGGTGCTTTTGACTATATAAATGACATTCCTCCAAGTAGCCTGTTTTAAAGTGTCCCCCCATGCCTCAAGACACCTCAGCAGTGCATTCCAAGGTGCCCTGGCTCTCCTATGGTTGTTGCTGCTGGTTTAATCACAGGAAGGCAAGTTTCAGCTTCTTTACCCCACTCTAAGACAAGGGAAGGAGGGACACAGGGCAGCTGGAGCTGGGGATTTGCTTTTCAGTGAGACCAACCAAACCACCTTTTTTAAAAGGAAAGAGTAGGGAACAAAAGGGAGACCCACTGCTGCAAACTGGGGGAAAGCAGCACGTATGTATTTGATGGGGACAGTTTTTGTACCCAAGTATAGTGACTTTTCCTTCAGGGAGGGGGATTTTCAAGTATGTGGTTCGGCTTGTGTGGCTCACACCCAGCCTCCGCCTTGTACCCAGTTTCTTGTCTTTTACCTGTGGCAGCCATTTTGTGGCAGTGGCCACAACAGTTCCTCAAACTCTGCAATGTGTCCATAGGCCCAAAATGGATGGAGGAGTCTGTCACAGCACATCCCTCCCTAAGAGAGAACACCCACTTCTCTTCTCTTAATTTCTAGGAACCCCCTTTGCTCTCAGTAGTTCCCCAAATCCCAGTCCAGCCTCCTTACATATTTGGTGTTGTCCTGCAAGGTGGACCGGGCCAGATCCTGAGCGCAGGCGGAACGTCACCGGGGGTTGGAGCTCGAAATCTTCCAAGCACAACTGAGAAAGGAGAAGGAGAGGAAGATGTGATGGGAGGAAGGAATGTCTCCAGATCCCATTTAGAGCAACTAGACTCTGAGCTTTCTTCTTCCCCTCTTGCTTCTGGGCTAGAGAGCCAGGGCACTAGCAAGTCTATTTTCTATTATCCCAGCCATGAAATTCTCACACACAGCTGAATGGGATTTGACATCTTTCCGCAGGGCCTGTAAGGTGAAGGTGTTCCCCCAGGCTTTGGTCGGGGTTCAGTCTGATTCTTTTCTTTCTGTATAAGAAAGCATTAAAGAGGCCTCCTAGCCCGCTCACAGGTCCTTTATAAGACCAGTGGTAACAGTTGGCCCTGGAGAATATTAACCACTCTCAATTTTACCCGTGGACTGGCATCTGTCCAGATTTTAATTTGTTCTGAACTAATTTTAAGATTTTAATTAATTGATTGCGTGTTTTTATGTTCTTATGTTCTTTGTATACTGTGTTAGCTTTATGGTGTTAGCTGCCCTGAGCCCGGCTCCGGCCAGGGTACAAATAAATAATAATGATAACAATAATTACTAACAAAAGGAACAAATTAAGTTCTCGCTGACACCTTTCAGGTCATACTAAAAACACTGCATCAAACCACACATTTGAATTGATGACCTAAAGGAGCCTGCTCCATGACAAAGATCTCAGGTCTTGCAAACCCAGCCTTCTCCCCCACCCTCACCATGTCTTCCTGTTAGCCCTTTCAGACCCTGTAGCCACCATATGCCCACCTCCCACAATTGCCCATGCACACAACTGTTTCTTTTACCGAAGGCTGGCACGACAACTTTAGGTTGGCCACTGGCACCACAATCTCCTGGTCCCGATAGTCGTGCCCCACAAACTCCACAATATTGCACTCATCTTTGGCACCTTCCGACAGGCAAATCTTGAAGATGGAAGGACAAAATGGAAAGAAGAGTAAAAACCAAAATATTCAGCAATACTTACCAAAGAGAGAATACCCCCCTCCCCAAACCCCATTAAAGCAGCTAGGAGTGTGAGATCATCCATTAACAGATGCAACCAGTAGAGTAAAAAACCATAATCTCTACCAAAAGGTCTTCTGGGGAACTTTAGATCCCGCTTCCAAAACAGGAGCATAGAAGCCCAGTAGCCAACTCACAGCACAAGACTGGGCAAACTTAAGATTTCTCCTGGTTTGAGGCTCATCCTTCCAGGTAACTAGCAAAGAAACCAAGTGGTGCCTATATATTTGAAGAGGGATTTGCCTATGTAGAACTCCTGGTCACCTCTGGCTACTAGCTGAGTTCTCAAATACTAGGTCATGCTAACGGGTCTGGGTCCTGGTTTTCCAAGCTCAGGATGTAACCTCTCTCACCATATTCAGAGCCAAGATATGATCAGAGTCATCTTCATCAGACACTTTAAAAGTGTAGGATCGGGTACTGCTGTTCAGCTCACATCCTGGGGTGGGGGAAAAGGGAAACAAACAAATATTGCAACTGATAAGTCAATTTTCTAAAAGCAGCAGATTTGCAAGAAACTGAACAACTTCCTTCTTAACCCTCTCGAGCCAGCTATTTGAAATATTTATAAAACTTTTAGAATGGTGTTTTCTTCACATGCTTCTCACTTTAAGCTGTTAGGTATTCAATTTATTCTTGTAGAAATGAATGGGAAAGTGCAGCTACCAAATGCATAAGCTCACTGGGTCCCTTCTATCCTCAGCAATTTCTCAAAAGAGGGCAAGCAAAATAACTTGGAATTCTACCTTAAATCCATTTTTTGTTTGTTTATTATACTACCACTAGAGCACTAAATAATCTTCCTGTTTTTGAGGGGTGGGTGGGGAAGATATTCCTGAGTGGACAAATGCAGTGTTAGACCCCAGGAGTAATTTTTTCTCCTGCAGGCGACAATTCTGCTCCATGCTTGCTTTACCTTAACACAGAAGTTAACATTTTCATTGTGCACATTTATAACACCACCTTCTTCTTTGTAATGTTCTTTGTTTGAGTGGGGGGAACATTAGTTACCTTCCATTATTTACTATGAGTTCAATATTTCATCTCGGCATTTTGCGCATGTCCTTATTTTACTTCCCTCCCTCCAGCTATTCCTGATTGACCAATGAAGAAATTAAATTAAGATTACAACATCTGGGTTAGTCAGTGTTTTGTTGGACCCTAGTACCAAATCGATACTGTAAATAAAATAAGGAGGGGATGAGGAGAAGGTGTGTGATTCAAGCTAAGAGGTATTTTTCACTATTGCAAAAGCAGTTGTGCCACTCTGCAAGAAGGCGTTTGACCATTTGGAAACAAATCCACTCTTTACAAAGTATTCATATTTACCATTCACACTTTTAAATCTTCCCTTTTGTGTTTCTGAAATTAATTGGATTGTCCCCAAAATCTTTTAAAACAATTTTCAGATGCAATAATTAGTTTCAGTTTTCTAACAAAAACTTATTGCTGTCATTAATATAGCTATGAGATCTCATACTGCCTGTACACAGAATTTATATTTCTAACGGTTTCATTTGCTGGACTGCCACAGAAGGATATAATCCACTGTGCTATGTTCCCGACGTAAACTAGAAGTGCCCCCAGAAACATTATTTGTACAGTAGTCTGATTCTATGTACCCGAAGGCCGAAGCAAGTCTCACTGGGCTCAGCGATGCACGTGGACTCCAAAACCCACGTGCGCCGAACTGCTGTTCTAGGGTCAAGAAATATTCGCCGCTCCTCTGATTACAACATAGGCAGATCTTACAGTACGAAAGATCTAATGCATTTTCGGTGGGAAATACCCCTCCTGCTCCTCCAATGTAACGAGCCAAGCAAGCCACGTGGACGCATCTGGGGCTTTAAGAGGCACACGCGGCACCGGGATAACTTAGCGTCGCCACGCCACGTGCTTCCGGGCCTTGAACATATAGGGACCCAGTTCAAACAAATCCCATTAAGGGTCAAGTCTAAACGACCCAGATCCCAGTAGAAGGTCCCTCTGAACACCCCCAAATGCCTTTTCCTGCTTTGCCCCAAAGGGCCCCGTTTCCCCCCTTCCACCTACATGCTCGCCTATCCCCGTTTCCTCTCTTTCCAGGCAGCGACAGGCCAGCCCTCCTTCAACTTACGGAACAAGAAGCTGCTGGTGCAAATCGGAGCCTTGACTCCATCCGCGATGCACTCCAGATCCACCAGAGAGGCCATGGCTTGCGCCGAAAGAGAGCGAGGCAGGACGAGGCAGGAAGACGCTCGCGCAGCGGAACCACCGACTAGCCCGGCTTGGCTAAGGCCGCCCCACCGGCAACGCGGATCCCTCCTCCAATCGGCGGACGAGGTAGGCGGCCCCTCCGAGGGAGGCGGGCGAGGTGGGTGATCTCGTTTGCTCTGGGGAAGTTTTATCTGCGCCTTAGAAAAGTCTCATTTTCCAGAGAGCGGTTTTGCTTTCGTTGCTTTCCTCCCGGAAGGAGAGACGGCGCTGTTCGTGCAAGGATCATGCAAGGATCCGAAACGAAATGCGTAGTCTTAGGTGGCGCGGGAGGGTGGGGGAGAGAGAGGGATCGCTCTGGGGCGCCTTGGCCCCCCGGGCATGCAATAGATCCTGGGCCTCTTCCCACTGCCTATCAGTGGGTGAGCACTCCAGCTGGCCAAAAGTGGAGTCGTGTCTGCCGTGGACGACGCACGCGGTATGCAGCAGGTCCTGGGTCCAGCCTCCTCCTGCAGTCGTGTCTCCAGCTGCGGTTGGGAGCGACCTGCAGGAGAGCCGCTGTCGCCGTGCCTGCGCTAGACGCGTAGCAGCAGAGCCGGATTTAGGTTTGATGAGGCCCTAAGCTACTGAAGGTAATGGGGCCCTTTATATGTTCAGCTGTCCTTTGTCAACAACAAATTGTCGCTGTTTTTTTGTGCTGAATATATGCTATATGGTAACTTATGGACCTAAAAGGTATCTAAAGCCATTTGCACATGCAGAATGTAGGCACATATAGAAATGAGCAAACCAGTGATGATGATGATGATGATAATAATTTATTATTTATACCCTGCCCATCTGGCTGAGTTTCTCCAGCCACTCTGGGCGGCTCCTAATCAAGTGTTAAAAACAATACAGCATTAAATATTACAAACTTCCCTAAACAGGGCTGCCTTCAGATGTCTTTTAAAGATAGGATACCTGCTTATTTCCTTCACATCTGAAGGGAGGGTGTTCCACAGGGTGGGCACCACTACCGAGAAGGCCCTCTGTCTGGTTCCCTGTAACCTCACTTCTTGCAATGAGGGGAACTGCCAGAAGGCCCTCGGTGCTGTATCTCAGTGTCCGGGCTGAATGATGGGGTTGGAGATGCTCCTTCAGGTATACAGGACCGAGGCCTTTAAAGGTCAGCACCAACACTTTGAATTGTGCTTGGAAATGCACTGGGAGCCAATGCAGATCTCTGATATTTTAGGGAGCAGGTTAGCAGGTTATCCCATTATCATCATAGGAGCCTACACAACACAAAACACTGTTGCTGTATGTAGGTTTTATTTTATTTGTTTTTTATCTTATATTTTGGAAATGTACAAACAGTTTTTCCCCCTTTAAATTTTTTGGGGCCTCCAAGAGAGTGGGGCCCTAAGCTATAGCTTGTTTAGCGTAAATCCGGCACTGAGTAGCAGCAGTGCTTGGACTTAGGGATGAGGCAGTTTTCCTGCATTTCCAATTATTCCTGGAACTCAGGATTCGCCCAGGAAAACTGAAGCGGCTCCACCTGCTTAGTAAGGGCCCCGCTGTTCTCTGAAGTGTCGGCAGCAGTTTCAACAAAATGCCAGGATCTTTCTGCAGTGGAGGGTGCGGCGACTCCCTTGCCGAGCGTGGCAGCCGCTGCCCCCCTTGAATTCGGAGAAAGCAGAGAAAGGAGGGTTTGAGTCCTTTGCCATTTACGCTAAGGGGTGTTGGAAATGGTTGGGCTTAACATACCTACAGGGCAGCTTCTCCAGCATTCGCTTCTCTCACCAGCTTTAAATTGCAAATGATCATGATTTTGTATTAGAATCATGCTTTTCGCAATGTGTGAATGCAGCAAAATAGTAGTTTCATCTGCTTTGAGCCATGTTCAAGATGCTTTGCTGCTGGAGCAGATATACACTCTAGACCAGGGATGGGGAACCTGTGGACCACCAGGGGTGGGTGCTCCCATCAGCCCCAGCCAGAATGGCCAGTAGTAGTCAGGGATGATGGGAGTTGTACATCCAGCATCATGTGCAAGTTTCCCATCCTTGCTCTAGGACCATCTCCAGGGAAAGGATTGGTGTAACTGAAAATGATTGATTACAGGGCTCAGAGGCAGACTTTGGTGATCTTTGGTGTGCGAGGCCAAAATTTGGTGCCTTCTAATGGATCTTCTCAATTTTGCACCCCCTTGGCTTGTTGCCCTGTGCAGGGGAACTGTCTACCCTGCCTTAAACCTGGCATGGCAGGGCTGTGTTGCTTAGATATGTCAAAGGTGGTATTTTGACCCAAGGCATCCTGGTAATCTTAAAATGAGAGCAAAGGAAGATCACAAGGGTCAGTCCCTTTCTAAATAAAATATATAGCGGCTGGGTTGCAGCCCCAACCTGGCCAAACCCTTTGGGGCTATGGAGACCCACACTGTGGTTTCAGATGGGCAGTACATTAATGTCTTGGCCTACCTTCTGCTTTTAGCAATCCTACCTCACTTGCAGCCATCTGTTTATGTCATCAGGATTCTCCACCGCAACCATCCCCTCCACAGAATTAGGAACCTGGAGGTGATGATTATTCACTCACTTGCCATGGCTCTGTAGCAGCATCTAGGAGCCTTTGTTCTGTCATTATATGGTTTGGAAAACGACCTGTGCCATTCAGCACAAGGCTTAACTTCCTGTAGAGATGAGGATCATGTTAAGATGAGCCTTAGCAGAGATTTAAAAAACAATCAGACACAGTGGTATACCCTTTTTTTGCAGCTCACTAGAATATCAGCTGGCCTCGCGTAGAAAGAAGGCCATTTTTGGGTCAGCCTCGTCAATTTCCCAGCTGTGAGTTGAAGGCAGGGGGTGGTTTGCTGAATGTCACATTTATAGTATTTTATTTCTGGGCAGTAAAACAAAAGGGTTATTGCCCCAGTGGGATACTGATGAGTTTTCCTGGTAGCTAGTTTCTGCTGTCAGATGTTAAAAGACAGAAGAACTCAGGAGCAATCCCAAAGCTGCCTCATACAGAAGCAGACATTCTCTCCTCGCAGTAAGGCAGTTTCCTTCCTGTCTTCTCAGAAAGTCCTAGTTCTAAAGAGCAAAGCGCTTGGTCTTTGTACCTCCTGTTGATCTGATCCTATGTAGTTACAGCATGGTTGCAACCCTCTCGCTTTCCAGCAGTCTGAACACAGAAGCTCCTTACCCTTCAGACGGACAGACAGACTCAGATAGGGTGCAAAGTGTTGTGGATATCCTCCCTGGGAAGGAGATGATTGGAAGTTGTGCAGTTTCTAGCACTGGGACATACACAGAGATAAAGTAGGATCATAGAATTGTAGAGTTGGAAGGGGGGGCCGTCTAATCCAACCTCCTGCAATTCAGGACTCTTTGTCCAACAGGGGACTCAAACCCACAGCTCTGAGATTAAGAGTCTCATGCTCTACCTACTGAGCTATTCCAGCTGCCAAGTTTAGGCCTGGTGTTTGGCTTTTCCTTCCTAAAAGGATCGGTTGAACTGCACTAAACCTTTGATTATTCTGCAGTCCTTCCTCACCAGTGCAGGGCCCCCAAATGGGCTCCCAAATGGCTGCGGAAATGTTGGGTGAACCAGAGCACACCCTTGTTCATGCAGAAGTTAAGTCCCACAGGATGTAAGTTCAATGGGACTTACTCACATGTCAATTTATATAGGATTGAAGAAGGTAAGGCTTGAAAAGGATTGGTCCATTTCTATGGAGGAGCAGACTGCACCAGGCTTCTTCATATTATTTATTTATTAAATTTGTATACCCCCTGAAGATCACAGGGCAGTTCACAACATAAAAATACAAAAGGAAAAATACAAAATACAGAATAAAACAAAACAAACCAATAACCGCCATGCCACAGACACATTTAAAAGGCCATGTTAATCAGCCAAACGGCCGGTTGAAGGGAAATGTTTTTGCCTGGTGCTTAAGGATATGCCTTACCTCTTGTACTTTCTCATACTGTGCCTTAAGAAACCCTCACCATTCACGCTGTCCTTTTTATTTTCCCAGTTTTGTTTTAATCCTGACGTTTTTGCGCTGCCTTGGTGGTTTTTAGCTTGCCTTTCCTGTATTTACATTGCAATTGTTGGAGGGCAACCATCCCTGGGAATATATTTGAAAGATGGTATGAAAACACCTGAGAGGCAGCAAACCCTTAAAGCCAGGGGGTGGGAACCTCAGGTGTGGGAGTCAAATGTGGCCCACTAGGCCTCTTGGAGCCCTTTCCTACCCCAGCCACACCCTCTTTATCCAGGATTTGGAATCTTGAAAATTTTCGCCTGCCTGGACTGCACCTTGATCTCAAGTAGTGACACTTGTTAGAGTAGTGACTCTAGAGGATAGAGAGGGGTGTGAGAGTACAACTGCACATTAGCCTACTGTACAAAAATGACTTTTATATTTTTCTGTCCACTTTTCCATTTGGCCCCCACACCTCTGGCATGTGGCCCCCGGGTTGCCTAGAAAGGAGTGCAGTATTTGGGCTAAAAATATTTATTGCCACTAGCTAAGATTGCGGAGCACACAGGGGGCTTTCCAGGTATTTTGCTATTCCTATACATAAACCCTTCCCAACTAACTGCCCAACCTTATTGTGTATACCATGTTCCTACAAACTTCCTGGATATATGCTCTCCCCAGGGAGATTCACCTAGCACCTTCCATATACAGTCACACCTTGGTTTTCAAACAGAATGCATTCCGGAAGTCTGTTTGACTTCCGAAACGTTCAGAAACCAAGACGTGGCTTCCGATTGACTGCAGGAGTGTCCTGCGGATGTTCGGCTTCTGAGGCAAAGCTCACAAACCAGAACACCTACTTCTGGGTTTGTGGCGTTTGAGTTCCAAGTTGTTCGTGAACTAAGCTGCTCGAAATCCAAGGTACGACTGTATATCTTTAGGTGCCAGTCAAAAACTTGGACGCTGAGTGCACGCTTCTGAACATGCCACACTCATGACCACAAGTTTCTAAGAGAACTGTTGCTGCATCCTCATTTCTATTCTTAAGAGGGCCTCATTCATTCACTGGGATACCTCTAATGACTTAAATTAGTAGTCTACTGCTAATAAGTGTAAACCACAGAGTCGAAACCACAGAGCCTAGGGCTTGCCA